CTCTTAAGGGTCGGGAATCCTTTCTGTAATATTGATTTGTTCGTCCGACTCGAGCTGGTTAACTGCCACTTCTTCCCATTATATGTAAATGAGTTAAATCACCGTCGGTTATTTCTGGTTTTCTTTCTCGTTTGATTGGTTGTCTGTACCTTTTATATTTTTCTGTCTATCTATTCTTTTGTTTTCGTTTCTTTTTGAAGGGAAAGTTATCTAGTTAATTTGCTATTTGTTTGGTTATCTGCTCGCTTAGATATGTAAAATATTCTGTGTATCTGGATGTTCATTAGACCATTCATCTATTTATCTGTCTATTAGTCTATCTGTTTATCCGGATCTTTCCCCTACCTTCCTTTGTCTCTCTCCTCCCCCACATCAATTCAATTTTCATATACCATAGCCTCGTCCAGTGTCAAGTTTGAATGCATAAACTAATGCTGTTGCAGTTCTCCCCTTGCATGTATATACAATACTGTATGTGCAACTATTCTCTTGTATAAAGTGTATATGCTTGTAAAGTTACACCACTGCACATTCTGTTTATACAAACTTACATGTTCAAGTAATAAAAATATTATGAAAAATATAAAAATCGATTTCAATTGATACGACGATATCAATTTCATAAGATAATAATTTGTAAAATATAAATAAATAAAAGAATAAAACGAAAATAATTGAGATGTTGATAAATAAATAAATAGAAAGTAATTGAGATGTTATCTTGAAAGCTACATGGATATTTTATCGCGTACCCTTCTAAAAGGAAAGATGCTTAACAAAACCTACATACATTGATATAGAACCGAGTTCAGAATCAAAGATCTACAACTCTGTGGATTCTAAGACAAATAGATGAACAGATTTAAGAAAAAAAGACAATTGGAAGTAAGTTAGATCTTACCTGCGCCTCTCTTTGTTAATACTTTGTGAAAAATTACGATCGAGAAAGGTATGTGTATTGTTCTCGTCTTCCTCCTATTCCTAGAAATGTTCTTTTCTCTTGCAGCTCCTTCTCTCAATAACTAAACAAAATCATCTAAGAAGATTAGATACAAACATAAACGTGAATAACGAAAATGGTGTTGCATTATTTTCTTCTCTCTCTCTTTCTGGCTTTTTCTTTCTCTTTTTCTTTCTCTTTCTCTCTTTCTCTTTCTCTTTCTCTTTCTCTTTCTCTTTCTCTTTCTCTCTTTCTCTTTCTCTTTCTTTCTCTTTTCTTTCTCTTTTCTTTCTCTTTCTTTCTCTTTCTCTTCTCTTTCTCTTCTCTTTCTTTCTCTTTCTCTTTCTCTTTTCTCTTCTCTTTCTTTCTCTTTCTCTTCTCTTTCTCTTTCTTTTTTCTCTTTCTCTTTTCTCTTTCTCTTTCTCTTTCTTCTCTCTTCTTCTCTCTCTCTCTCTCTTCTCTCTTCTCTCTCTCTCTCTCTCTCTTCTCTCTCTCTCTCTCTCTCTATCTATCTATCTATCTATCATCTATCTATCTCTATATCTCTATCTATCTCTATATCTCTCTTTCTTTTTTCTCTCTCTCTTTCTCTCTCTTTCTCTCCTTTTCCCTTCCCCATTCCATTTCCTTCTCTCTCTCTCTCTCTCTCTCTCTCCTCTCTCTCTCTCTTCTCTCTCTCTCTCTCTCTCTCTCTCTCTCTCTCTCTCTCTCTCTCTCTCTCTCTCTCTCTCTCTCTCTCTCTCTCTCTCCTCTCTCTCTCTTCTATATATATAATATATATATATATATTATATATATATATATATATATATTATATATATATATATATAATATATATATATATATATATCATAACAGAAGAAAAAGGTAAAATATAACACAGATATATCTCCCACTCACGGACAACGATGAGGCGTGAATGAAGCAGTTTGCGCCTCCGTGACTGTACCTAAACATCAACACCGGCAGTTTGGTATTGGCATTCCGATGATACCCGTGACAATACCTCCGAGATAATAATACGCCCCTGCAATAGAGCCATCAGGTGTTATTGCATGACTTGTGGTTTATGTACACTGTTGTCTCTCGGATAATGTGGATGCCTATAGGTGTTGGCGATTTGTTTGTTTGTTTTGTGTTTTTTGTTTTTGTTTTGTGGGGGGTTTTGTTATGAAGTTTGCGTAAAGTATAATTATTTAACAATATAGTTTGTTTGTTCTGTGTTTTTGTTTTTCTTGTTATGGAGTTTGCGTAAAGTATAATTATTTAACAATATAGTACATTTAAATTTAATTTTTGTTCTGTGCTTTTGTTTTTCTTGTTATGGAGTTTGCGTAAAGTATAATTATTTAACAATATAATTTCAAGTGATTGATCGAAGGGAGACCATACTGACAGGGCGACTAAGGTGCAAGAGCAAGTTGTGATTACATCTATTAATCCTTTGATTAGTTTGGGAATCGATTAGCAAGTGTCTGACGTTCCCCCGGTGTGTGCGCGAGTGAATTTGCATGTATATGTATTGTGTGCGTGGTTGCGTGTGTTTGTGTGTTAGATCTTGTAGTATTTGTGTTTGCACTTGCGTCAGTTTTGTTTGTATGTGTCTGAGTATTTATTTGCGTGTGTTTATGTACATTTATTCGTGTTATTTAGTAGGTCTGTGTATATTTGTATATGTACGTGTATTTGTTTGCATGTGTTTGTGTATGTGCGTTCATATTTGTACAGTTGACTGCTCTCATACCTGGTACACCCGTTTTTGGTGGACAGGGGAAGCGGCATCTCTGTTTAAATTCTCGTACTATGATTGGCTGGGATGGATTGTAGTAAATCTCATCTGAAACATTCGGAATTTTATTCATGAATACCATTAGCGTTCCTGTATAGGTATAACACGGAGAGAACTGGTTATAAATAATCTAATATATATTGCGGAGTTGTGAGTTTTGTGAGCAGTTAGGGGGGAGGGAGTTTAAGGTTAAGTGAAACAGATTATTGTTTTTATGTCTACACTCGAAATGCAGTGTAACGAGCAAAAGAATATTCATCTAGCGTTCGATGGTTGTAAGTCTCAGCGATTTTTTTTTTTTTTTTTTTTAGTAAAAGGGGGTATTTTCTTCGGATATCCAAACATTTAAAAACTCGCAGATGCCTAATGTTCCCCGTGGCCATTTTGTTAGCCAAATATCTATTTCTTGACGAAAACCTAAATTTCCGAACTTTAATTTTCAAGTTTGTGTTTCGAGGCTATATAAAATAAGAAACTAACAATTTCATGATATGATGGCTTACTCGTTGGCGCAACCCAGTTCAAAATTTCTGACTGGGGTTAAAAGGAGAGAGAGAGAGAGAGAGAGAGAGAGAGAGAGAGAGAGAGAGAGAGAGAGAGAGAGAGAGAGAGAGAGAGAGAGAGAGAGAGAGAGAGAGAGAGAGAGAGAGCATATTTACGCACGCACACCACTCCTTATGTATGTGAGAAATTATTTTCATACATGCATTTCCAGGGCAACATTTCAATGCTTTCATCCAAATTTAGTATCAGTGACCCAATCCATTCAAGTTGTAGCAGTACGAGAATGTAAATAGAGTTGGCGCTTCTGTGGCAGTCATATCTGCAATCATACCAGTTATGACTCCAAGCAACTGTACATGTATCAGTTAAGTAAATGAGTTCCTCTATATGTGTATGTGCTCGTGTGCTCGTCCTGATATGAACCGTAGACACGTAAATGCTCAAATGTAAGCTTGTGTATAGTCCCCATCCCCTTCCAAGTTAATAACATTGTTGTTGCGGCACGTTTTCTGTGTTCAGCGGGATTACACAGAGAATGGGAATTCTAAAGAGAACGAAAATAATGTAAGGCTTCCCCTTAATGAGAAGGCTACATTCTGGTAAAAAATGTGTGACGTAATGGAAATCGTTATTGTGTAAAGTGCTGCTGCAAGAGAAATCAGAACGTATTAATTTTCCCCGAATAATTCAAGGATAGGAAGGCTAAATCCGAAACAGGACATCTCATGTGTTGTATTAAACGCAAAGTCGTTTGATTTGAATTTGCAATAATGTGTATTCAAAGAATATTTTTATTTCTAATGATGTACTGTTTTATAAGATGAGGTGTTTCAAGGAAAGAATGGAATGATTCTTCCCTTAATAAGCAGAGAAGTGAATAGAGAACATGTCTCGTGTAAAGGTTGGTTTTCACATTTTGATGCTAAACGCTTGCTCCTTTTGTCGCCAACTTATCACTCCCATAGCGTGATTTCAAGGAGAAACGGATGCAAACGATGCTGGTAAAAATTATGAACTCGCTTTCGTTTTCGAGCAGACCCAGGCGTCATGGCATCTCAGGAGAATGTGTTGCGAGCCGCTGTTGTCCTTTGTGGTACATGTTATAATGTGTGATTCAGTAATGAAAAAACAGCCTCGCATATCCGACTTATCTTTATTGCAAAAAGAAGTGTATATATATGAAAGTGCTAAGTGCATTTGTGCTATTTGTACATCAGAAATTGGTTTATTTGGACAGTCTTGCAATTCATGAATCTATCATTTAGTCGGGTTAGTTCTGTTGCCACCATGAAAAGAAAACTGGACATTGTACTCAGCAACAAAGCACATACACACTGCCGTCGTCGGCTGAACTAGTCATTTATTCGCTACCGAAACGCTAGACGCCAGCGGTAAAGTTGAACATGTTTAACTTTATCGCAGCGTCAAACAGACGCTGCGAAATCGTGATTTGTCGCAGACGAATAAAATAGAAGCTTTCACAAGCGAATTGAAAAGCTTGTCCAAATCAAATAAGAGCATAACATAATAAATAGTAGTTCTTAAGATTAAGATTAAAAGTAGTGTAATTGTGTAATCCACTCTTTGTATGACCAAAAACGTTTGTTTACTTTCAACTAATGTGTTAACCGAAAATTTACTGTTCGATCGGCCATCAAGACTTCTTTGCATATGGACATTCATTTATATTGTGACATAATAAAAAAAAAAACGAGATCAGCATAATCAGCATCAAATAAAAAGTTTCGTAAAACTACCTCAGTCCCG